GAGAGAGAGAGAGAGAGAGAGAGAGAAAAACTGGGTGAACTTGGTTGCATCATTCCTTGAATTGGTATAAAAGGCACTTAAGTGAAGCATGTACAATATCTTAAAGCACTGCTGTTAAGATTAAGGAACAGCAAAAAGTTTGTAACATAATTATGATATTTTGGGCAAAAAAAAACAAGTGGCTTTTAAAAATACAGTGTACAGTTTCATGAAACCAAAAGTATTTTTGTTTATTGCCTTTAAAGGGTTAACAAAAACTATGAGTTTCAAATGAAACTCGGGGATCAGAACGCAACAATGAATTTGCACAACCAACGTACTTTGGCTTCAGGCCACCTTTGCTGTAAAGCAGTTTTACTCCGTCTCCAGCTAGTTAACAATTACCTACAATAAACGCTTGGTGCAGTTTTAGATTTCAGGATTGCTGTTAAGAGACAGCATACAGTGTGACAACCTTTGAAAGTTTCAAACAACACTACTGACCAATAAATTACTCACAAACCTATCAATTGGTATGCTAACTGTAACGTAACCAGTGGATTAATCAGAAAAGCAGAGAAACACTGAACTACATTTAAAACATCTGCATAGTTAAGAGCTATAAAAAAAAAGGACAAAATGCAAATTGAGAACAGACTATGGAGGTCACACAGCTATGCCTGAAGGTCTTTGTTCTAGAGGTCCTACTAAATCTAATTTTTAACTCAGTCTTCTGGTCTAATCAGATATAGGAGCAGAATTAGGTCATTTGGTCCATTAAGTCTGCTCCACCATTTGATAACGACTCTGATAGGGTTAGGGTTAGGGTTTCTTAACTCCATCCTACTGTCTTTGCCCCGTAACCCTAAAATCTCCTCACTAATCAATCAAGAATCTCTGTCTTAAACACACACTGACTTGGCCTCCACAGTCCTCTGTGGAAGTGGGCTCCGCAGATTCACCACTCTCTACTGAAGAAATTCCTCATCATCTTAGTTTTAAAGGGTCACCCCTTCACTCTGAAGCTGTGCCCTCAGATCCATGAGGAACGTTTGAGGGCTCTGGGACTACACTCATTGGAGTTTAGAAGGATGAGGGCAGAATCTAACTGAAAATTGCAGAATACCGAATGGCCTGGCCAGAGTGGATATTGGGAAGATGTTTTCGTTTGTAGGAGAGACTAGGACCCGAGGGCACAGCCTTAGTGTAAAGGGAAGACCTTTTAGAATGGAGATAAGGAGAAACTTCTTCAGCCAGAGAGTGGTGAATCTATGGAATTCACTGCCACAGAAGGCTGTGGAGGCCAGGTCATTGAGTACATTCAAGACTGAGATAGATAGGTTCTTGATTATCAAGGGGATCAAGGGTTACGGGGAGAAAGCAGGAGAATGGGGTTGAGGAACTCATCAGCCACGATTGAATGGAGGAGCAGACTCAATATGCCAAATGGCCTAATTTCTGCTCCTATGTCTTATGGTCTTCTGTCTCTCCTACTGGTGGAATCATCTTCCCCATGCTCAATCTATACAGGCCTCTCAGTATTCTGTAAGTTTCAATGAGATTCTCCTTCTATTCTTTTAAACCCCATTGAGTACAAACCCAGAATCCTCAACTGCTCCTCGTATGGCAAACACTTCATCCAGGGATGATTCTTGTAAACCTCCTCTCGACACCCTCAAATGCCAACACATCCTGCTTTGGATACAGGGCACAAAACTGCTCACAATATTCCAAATGTAATCTGACCAGAGCTTTGTACAGCCTTGGCAGCACAGTTCTACTCTTGTATTCTAGCTCTCTTGAAATGAATGTTAACATTGTGTTTGCCTTCCTAAC